ATCTTGAGTAATTAGCAGACTGTAATAAAATTATTTCTTTGAGGTCATTTCAACCGCAGTCTCACCAGTTAAACATGTTTGGAAATAATTAACAAAATTTTATAAAAACTTAACCTTCCCGCTCTTAGAAATTATAAAAACAAAAAATTTCTCCAAAGTACAAAAAAAAAAAAAAAAATAAAATAAAATAAAATAAAAAAATAAAAGAAATAAAGAAAAACGTCAACCACGCCGAAGCCATAATACTCTTGACAAGTGTATTTTTTGACCATAAAAGCGTGTAAAAACAATGTTATCTTGGTTTTGATCGGTCAGTTTAAATGGCAGCTATATGCTGTAGTGTTTCATTCTACACAATATGTTGGATAATAATATGTATATGAGAAATTATGGGTAGTTACCTAATCAATTCATAGAGTTTCCCATACAGGAACTTGAGTTGGCTAGGACAGTTTGTACGGCAGCTATATGCAATAGTTGTCGAAAATCGGTGGTTCCGACAAATGAACAGATTCTATGGTGAGAAAAGGATGTATGCAAAATTTCACATCGATATCCCAAAAACTGAGGGGCTAGTTCGCGTATATACAGACAGAGATACGGACATGGTTAAATGACCCGACTTGTCCTGAGGACCATCTCTGACGTTTCTTTCTCAGTGTTACAAACTTCGTGATAAACTTCTTGTTAAGTATATACAAATTTAATCCTATACTTATTGTGTTACAAAAATTATAGACGAACACAATTTTTATACACTCAGCCTTACTTAGTTTTAGGGGAGAGCTCTTTATCTCCAGCATTGACTTATTTTATGATCAGACTGGTTTGAGTGCCTGAMCTTAGCGGTATTGTGGGGTACATCRTAAGAGGCCYGAGGAATTCTTTGCTCTCAGCCARGACCATMCTTYAAAGGTTATAGGAGTCCTAACTGAATATTATCCAATCGGAAACTATTCAGTTGCAATAGCTATTTGAAAGAAGATGAGGAGGCAGCACTTCCTCCTCAACACCTCATCTCGGATCTCCGACTTTTCAACATTCAGGTAAAATTGCGGAAATAAAACTAAAACAACTAAGCAGATTTTTAAACATTTTGGGGCGTCTTGCCGATAGGTGATATGCCACTAATGGTGTTTTTCGTTTGTCTTCACAAAGSCCTGTACAAAAAGTGATTACCTGTCTTGCTGAGGGATTGGCCATACAACCTAATCGGCCACCCGTCTGCCAGTGCAAGCGATAACTTGAGTAAAAGTTCAGATATATTGATCAAACTTGGCACACCTATTCCTTAGCACTTATACTCGTAGAAGGTTATTATTGCAAATGAGCAATTGTAACGCCCGAAAAATGCCGTTAATTAAATATATGTTTCTCCCAAACTTCTTAGGCTAAATCAATTAAGTATTTCCTTAAAGTATTCCATACACAATGGTCGAAATCGACTGAGTTTGTAGAATTCATTGCATATAGCCTAACCTAACCAGCCTATGGCTGACTTTTCACTGMAAAAATGCCATATATATTAAGTTGAAGACATCACTTCAAATACCATCTCCAGTTCTAATTGACTTATGATATGGATAAATATGTTATATAAATTAAGTTAAGCGGCTGCTATTGGATACACATAGTTTGATCGCGAGCATGGGTGCCACCGATTCACTTTTACCAACCCTTTTGAAAAGGCTACTCCGAAGATTGGCTGTTAGCCACCATTTTACTTTATAATGCTAAAGGAAGGATAGAAATTGTATTCATTTTTCAATGCTTCCGCAAAAAATTGCCAAACATGTGTCTAACCAAGTATTGKTCGCCTTTTTTTCTCGACACTGTAAACATTCGTCTAAGAAGATGGAGATATTTATTTCCAGTAACAAGATCATTGAGAAAGAATATGGCGGACAAAGTTTCCAAAATTATTTTATTGACAAGCKCTTTGGCCCTCAGTTTGCAATTACATTGCGAGAGTTATCAAATGCTTTGGTAAAAATTGAAAACAACCTGAATTATACAGAAGATAAAATTCACAAAGAATACAAAGAGGGAATATAAGAAGCTTAAATGCGTATAAGAAAGAAGTAAGACCTAAAATTAATATATTAAGAGATCAGAGATCACATACGTCATACATACAGCCAAGTATAACTATTTATACGAGTATTATTTAAATATAGTATACATATATTAATATTTATAGCCGATGTATCTCAATTTTTTGACAGCAACCCCACAATCATTGGAACTTAACTTTAGTGTTCTACAAACATTTTAAATTGTTACATTGTGTCAATGATTCAACCACACGCTCCTAACTCATACACACACACACAAGCATACACGCATGGCAATAAAYACGACTGAAAATGTGCTGTTAGCAGTTCACAGCTACGGAGAGCTGCTGGTTTTTTATGAGCCATTAACAACTATTGTTATTCCTGCATAAGCCGACGCAGGTGACAAAATGCTCTTGATGCAATTTTAGGTTCCTTGTTGCTCAGTTGGAATGCTTTCAAGTCGCTGTTGTGCKAAAGTGCTTTATTGCTGAATTTTAGCTTTAGCCCTTAAGGCTCATATGTGTCATAGAACAATCCATGACCGCTATATATAATATTTAAGAGTCTTAATTATGAAGGGAGATATAATGTTTACTTCAAATATTTCACAAAATATTTCTGAARGGGTAGAACAAATTGTATACATAATTTCATAATCCTTTCTAAATAGGCATTCAAGGACACATAAATTTACAACAAGTTATTGCTTACACATTTTCTTTACATAATGTTCAAGTGCCAWTAAGACAAAGARCCRCTCTAAATGATGAAAATATTGCCACCGTTCAGGGAACTGTTGCTGAAGACCACAATTTATCAATTCCAAGCCGTTGTCAAGACTGTCTGAAACCCCAACCTGGCTAATTTCAACAAGACGCAGCTATGTACCAGACATCACGTGCAACAACCAAATTATTACGATAAATATTTATAGATTATTTTCAGAAATTGTCACGTTGTTGGGATTTAACACCATTAGACAACTTCTTATAGGGTTATTTGAWGTCACTGGGTTTTAGCACTAAACGAGATTCTCCCCTATTTTGAGAAGTCAATATTGAAAGTACTATTCGTAACGGAGCACCGAATTTAGTGGAAAATGTTCTTTAAACAGTTTCATTTAAAGTCTGTGTTAAGTTTCAATTTATATCAATTAATCATCTCAATATTAATATTTTAAAGAATTTCAGGTTTTGTAAAGAAATAGTTTTTAGTCAGCATCTATAAGGTAACACGCAGAGGGAAACTGAACGRTGAAAATTAAATCCTAATATAGCATTTTTTCGCGAGATATTTTCATGAAATTTTAAATGATTTATTGTCCAAGAAAACACAAYAATCTGCGAACATATTGTTCAGATCGGAGTACTATCGCRTATATCTARAATAATAAATTGTTCAAYRAAATCAAGATATAWATYTTTTTATACTCTTTTGTGCTAAATTCACCTGTATATTCACCCATGAAGGCTAATGTAGCTTCAGTGAGGCCGAATTTTATAACTTAAAATAAATTTTTTTCTATGCGAAGATGTGTATAAGAGACAGCCTGTAAGGAGTTATTCTGGCACAATTTACTGGCACAATATTACAATCAACTTTATTTTTTCGTTTCTATTAACCAAATATTTTTTTCAAAACCTTTTTATTTTCTTTTTTGTCTTTTTGCATTTATTTGTGCTAATTATATTTAAAATTTGAGATTAATATTTTTAATACTTACAAGTAGTTTTGCAAACTGACACTACCGCTTAAGGATGCTCATGTTTTCTAAGACTTCGTTTACAAGTTCTCAAGGCCGTACGCACCGAGCGCTAAAATTAAACTAAAATTTTTGCAGTTTATCAAGCAATTCATTAGTGAATTTTTTATACAGTTTGTTAGTGTCTTTAAAAAAAATGAGGCTAATAGTTTTTGAATTAAAATTATTGTTTATATATATATAACTGGTGATCCAAGTAGAGGTACTTTTTTCAACGGCCCTTTTTTGACAAATCACGCGTTAGTGGTGTCAAGCCATCATGTTACTTTTTGCTCAAGCCAGTTACCTGTCGAAATGCTCTAATTCATAGTGGAGGCCAACTTTTGAAAAAGATAATCTATAAAAAAATAAATGTCAAAGAGAAAGTAGGAAACCTTTAAATGGATCACCCGTTATGTAGACTTTGAACCCTTATAGCATCTATCATATGGGCTTAGCCGAAAACTGGCCAAACGCATAGAAAACAACAGAGAAAAATATGATTATCGTTGTTTTTATTTTATTTTTTAGTAACTGGCATACTATAATCAATAATGATGTTTGAAGTTTCGAAATTGGAAAGCGAATTTGCAATTTTGGATGCTAATTTCACAAAAAAGGAATATACTTCTTATATTTTAAATTATATCCAATCTATTGAAAAATATTGGTTTGGTTAAATACCCGAAAAAAAAAATTGTTATAGAGCTTTAGTGTAGTGGTAACTTTATTAAGATCATCATAAGCGAATGCTTCCTTTGGCCTTTGTGCTAAAACGAAGGCAGAAATTTGGTTCTTATACTATCGCTCGTTCCCCAATTCTTTATATCATAATTTTGTCATCTTCGAATTTTCACTTTTAATACATTAACATATTCACTCATCGCACAATCGACCTTCCTCTATTCATTAACTGAAAGTTATTGCGTCTGTCCGAAACCTGATAAGCGTCATCAAAAAACGCAAAAAAATTGTATTATTAATTAATTATATATATAATATTATATATATATATATATATATTATTTCTTGTATTATATTTGTATATGCATCTAGTGTTGGGCTATCAGCTCCGACCGTGCATAGGTCAGCGCCAATCACTATTCTTTATATGGTATACACACAAATATGTGAATAAAAAATTCATAAATGAARCAAAGCCAAGCCATTAGTTGATAAACTTCAAGAATTGTAGTTTAATTTTAGCGCTCGGTGCGTGCGGTCTTGAGAACTTGTGAACGAAGTCGAACGAAACATGAGCATCCCTAAGCGGTGCTGGCAGTTTGCAATACTGCTTGTTAGTATTAAAATACTTAAGTTTAAATTTGAAATATAATATCATACATATATTTGTGTATATAGCTCTACTAAACAGATAATTACAAGCAATTACAAAAAAAAAAAAACCAAAATATTTCGAAAACAATATCTGGTTATTAGAAAAGAAAAAATGAAGTTTTGTGAGAATAAGCCAACAGGATTAAATTGTGYTACAAATGAAAAACCGCATGAAAAACAAAAATTTTAAATATAAAAAACGTAAACTTTGGCTCAGCTATAATAGCCTACGCAGATGAATTTAGCACGAAAGGGTTAAAAAAACGTATTTCTTGATTTTGTTRGACCATTTATTATGACAGCKATAYGCTACAGTAGTCCAATCTGAACCATATGTTCGCAGATTGTAGTTGATTGATGTTGTCTTTGACAGTAATTAATTCCAAATTTCATGAAAATAAACAAATTTTTTCTAATTAGAACTTGATTTTGATCGTACAGTTTGTATGCCAGC